AGCTGCAGTTTTCTTAAAGAAATATATTCTTTCTTTTCAAATATATCACATAGCATTTAATAACAATAAAAATATTTTCTCTATATGTATGTAATAAAACCATCTGTTCTTGTCAGTTAAATGAAATCGATTAAATCTCACGATGCTTACAATTTAATTCGCAGCACAAGTTACCAACAAGATACTCGAGCGATGTAGCAATTTAAGATCGTCACCGAATTTCATAAACCAAGCGCCGAGAGGGGTTGGAGAGACTGCGGATAAAATTTTTCGCGCACCAGAGTGGAAAGAAGCATCTTCGACGTTTCGAAGTGGTAAATAATGGAGGGTGACGAACGGAAGTATTGCTGCAGGCTGTTACGACGGGAGTGGAGAAAAGAGGAGAGGTGGGCGCCAACGGGATGCGGCGGGATGGTGAGACGACGAGTGGAGAAAAAGATCGAAAATTGCACGGTAAACTCGTGCCACGATTTTCACCTCGACGCGGTAAATTGAGAATAAACAGACGTAGAGAGACGAGACCGATAGAGCCTCTACTTTGCGTCTTGCGATATTCGTGAAGCAATTCAGTGAGAATCGGGGTTTCATTTCTGCGAATGATCAATGCGAGAGAAGATACCTTTCTGATAATAGTAGATAATAATAGTAAATCGTTGCGAAAAAAAATACAATTTTCTCCATATTTTGAGCTAAATTTTATCATAATTCTGAGTAATATAAACAATAAGCACACACGTGCGTCAGATTATTACATCTTTACATCACGGATATGAAATAAAATTTTTACATTTTTAAGTGTTAATTCTGCAAAACACAAATTTAAATAACAAAATGTTTTTTTAACTTCAAATAACAAATGCTTTTTTAACTTCCAACATTTTTCGTCTTTGAGAAACGATTACGATGGGATCTTCCTTTTCCCATGTTAAGAAAAATTCCGAATAAAATCTTACGTTTGCACGTATTTACAATTTTTTCTTTTCAGTCATGCGTATTACCTGCCGCTATCTCGTTTCTTCCGGTAGCAATATCGCGAGGTGAAAACGTATATACGTTTCGGATTGCACGTGTTGCGTCCACGTCTTCTCCTTACTCTGGTCCGGGTATTGCACTGTCGGCAAAGTCTGCGTTCTCTCATCCATCACCGGGATCTAAGGTCGCCGGCAACGAGGAAAAGGCGATGGGAAAGGCCTGCAGGTCGACGGGAGCTTCCTCCGATATCTCGACACGACGTTACGTTTGTCCGTGAACCATGTTCCGTCATTCTGGGACAAAACTCCCGTCGTTCTCGACCAGGCGTCCCGAGAAAAGTCGTAACTCGTTGGCGAAAGCAATTTTGATATCTTCTCATAAAACATTAATCGTCCAATAAAAAAAAATGTTCCAATATATAATATTATTGAAAATATCTTGTTGCATGTTTTAACACAAATTATACATCAACATGATAGTATAATAAATTATCAAATTGTATTGTGGAATTTCGAGAAAAAAACAATAAAAACATTCTTTCTTAATAGTAAACAACATTAACAAAATTAAATTAATTAATAACAAAATTAAAAACTACTACTAATTTTTTAGGGAATGCCAACAAATATGAAAACATTCTTCTTCATGTAGGAAATCACAGTTAATCATAATGAAGTGAAATGAAATGAACAGCTTTCACAACATTTATACGTTCATTGAGATATGATTCGCGTTAAATAGAGAAGCTTGTTTTAACGCTAGGCAGAGAAATGCAAAGGGCAATTATTATTAATTACTTTCAGAAGGTTTTTACATCCAGAAGTTTTAAAACCGCGGCCTTTTTATGAGCGTTAAATGTTTGCTCTCTTTTTTTATCGTACTGACATTTTTCGTTTCCTCTCTTTCCATTGCAGATATTTGACCGGAAAGTTCATTTACATTGGCAGCATCTATAAAACGGATTAATTGCAGCTGACCATGCGACGAGTGCCGGCATGCACAGCCGAACGTTCAACGGATGGAATTTATCCGAGAGTGAGTTCTCCTCCAATGGTCAGCAAAATTTGATCAATGTGACTTCATTCAATTTCTATTGTTTAAAATAAAACAAAAATTACTATTGCCTAAAATAAAACAAAATTTAAGCAACAATTTAGTTAGTGCAAAATTTAAAAAACAATTTCGTTTACAATATTGTATACTACGTACTTTTACAACACTTTAAAAATATTAATAGGGACTATCTGTATAAAGAAGAATATATATGTATATATATATATATATATATATATATATATATACATTTATACATTATATTTTAATAATGTATTTAATAAATAGAGAGAGAAAAGAAGAGAAAAAAGGGAGAAAAGGAAAAAGTTTATAAATATATTTTGAAATATATGTATTTAAACTCGATTATTTTATATTTTATGTTAATATATAAATTAAAAATAATATTAATTTATTAAATAAAGTAAAATTTAACAGTGGTTCATATAAAAGAGGGGAAACACTATTACCAAACAAGTCAACGGGTTTTAAATGGAAATGTGCAGGAAAATGGAAATACAAAAGTTGTGGATCATTTAACGAATTAACAATTATAATCCACGATTAGAATTCCTATCATTAGCATAAGCTCCGCGTCAGTAAGGCCGAAAAGTTTCCGGCGTTTGCTCACCAGTGCCAAAATAATCAGAAGGGAAGGAGTAATTTTATGCGATCGCGCTCGGAGATTATGAGGGAAAAGTAGCCGGCGAAGTAGTTGAAGAATGTTAAGTCAGGAAACCTTGCTATCTTACCAAGATAAATCACGAAAGGATCGAGATTCTTGTTTAATCATAGTAATTATAGTCGCAAGCTAAAATTAAAATTAGATACAGTAAAACTTGTTTAGAGAATAATTTTGTTGATATAGTCTATTCTCATTTTCAGAGAATGTATCTGCATCAATTAATGTAAATAAAATGATGAATTGCAAAATGCAATTCTTACATTATTTAAAAGAGTTAAACTTATAAAACGAGTAGATAGCACAGTATTATGTTTCAATTAATAAACCAACAATCACATATAAAGAAAATCACATATAAAATTGCATGTTATGTTATCCACAAATGTACATTGTAGTCTATATTACCAGTGGTCCATATTGATCGTATAACGCACAAGAAAAGTGGCAAGTGACTTCTTTGGCTTATAAAATATAAACATTAAATTAAAAATAACAATTACAATTTTTTTCCTATCTGGAGAATATTTAAAAAATAAAAAAATATTTTTTAAATGAATTTCTATGCACTATATTTTTACCGATTTTGTATTTGTTTGTGCAAAGTTTAAATAAATATAAATAGCAGTTCTAATCGAAAAACGTCGAAATGATTTCAAGCTATTTTCTAGTATTAAACACTTTGATTACCAAATGTCAGTTATTCTCATGCATTTTCCTGTGAATTGTTTCAAATAGAAATCAATTTTCTCAAATGGTAACAGCAACATGATGGTATAATATTAACTGCAAGTACATTGAAATTAATTGTCAAAATTTTATCAAATTTTATCAAATTTTAGGCATTGATGAGATAATGTTAAAAGCCAGCCTTACGAACTTATATAATTTGAAAAAATTTATTTTTGTTTAATACGTTTATGTGCTTTTTTATATTATGCATATATAGTAGTAAATTATTGCTTTTTATTGTTTTAATATTTATAAATATTTATAATATATTTAACTAACACATAACAACATATGAATACACGAAAATCATAAAATATCTTTTTGATTAAATTTTAATCTTTCTCTCTCTCTGTCTCTTTATTTTCTAATATAATATCATCATTATTTTATTATCTTTATAGTTCTTTATAAGCGTATAGAATATACTTTTTATTATTGATAAAATAATGTTTTGGTTATTTTTGATATAATTGAAACTATTAGTCATCGTTTTTTAATTACCTGCAGGTCTATTGAGTTCATTCAATCGTGACAAAATTTATTTATGGTTGGCTGCTTTTTTTTAACTGTACTTCATACATATACATACTATTTTAACTGTCTACATACATATACATACATACATATATTCTGCTGTAATATAAAATAATCGCAAATAAAAATCGATTATTTGAAATGATAATAAACGTGACGGTATACTATCGACTGCAATTGCTAGACCTTAGGTAATAAACCTTGAAGGTGATATATCTTTTCTACGCGATATTGATTAGAATGATGGAGTTCACATTTATTGAGCACTGAAACAGATGTCATTACTTACATGTATTTTAGCATAAACGTCTAGTACTCTTTATATTTAAATTACTTTTCATTCACATATTCATATTCATTAAAAGTTATAGAAAAAACACGTAAATAAATAATATACGAATATACGATGTAATATAAAATAAATAAGTAATAATAATAATACACAAATATAATATAAAGCTTCTTTAGAATATATTTTAAATTCTTTATATATTTGTAATACCTACTTTAGCTTATATTCTTTATATGTAAAATTATTATTTATATATTTGTAATATCTACTTTAGCTTATATTCTTTATATGTAAAATTATTATTTGCTTTATATATATTATATATTTATACATTTATATATTTATATTTAATAAAATATAAAGAAAAGAAACATATACAATGCAAATATGAATATAAAATTTTGCAAAATATCCTAACATCTTATTAAATGTTCTTTTTCCTTTGAAATAAAAATAGTTATATTTATTTGCATAAACAAAACATAATAGTTCTTAATGTATTAATTATATAGACAGATATTTATTTCCGTAATTTTTTTAATATATTATTACGATTAAAACATATAATCCAATCGTAATCTTAAATACAATCGATATTACAAAATATATACACAGGAGATAATAATTGTAAATATTTATTTATATACAGTACATTTATATTTTAGTGTCCAATATTAAACAATTAAATTACACATACAATTGTATAATCATATAAAATTCTTACATAAAATGAATATAATCTCTAAAACTGCATTTTTATTTTAAAGAAATGAGAATTTTTCTACAATATCGTATGGAAGACAAACAATTTTTTAAATTTAACTTTAATTATAACGACCAATGTTTTGATTTTTATTTCTACTAGCTTTTTCTTTAGGATTGAATCAGAGGATTTTATTATTAGGATTTCTTTCATCCATCTTTAATACTTTTCCCTGCATGGATATTTTCAATTCATTAAATGCATTTTGTAGATTTGCGTAAACTTGCTTCTCGTAACACATATTTGAATGAATAGAATTTTGCATAGCAATTTTATTCTTAAGATTTCTGAGTTGAGGTTGGATTTTATGACACGCTTCTTCAAAACGTAAACGGCTATCTTTTTCTTTTATTAGAAAGTCAGTTTTATTCTCTAAGATTGTTATTAAATTCTGATTACGTTCGATCATAAGAGACAATCGTTTTTTCAATTTATCTGCGTTGGTCCATTTGACATGATTTTTTTCTATTATATTTTGTAATTTGCATTTTCTTTCATTTTTTCTTTTCACCTTTTGTGCATGTATTGAACGTGATATTTGTAAAATACAATTGTGTTGTAGTCTCGATTGAAGCTGCTGAAACAGAAAAGAAATATATATATTTGTATATGATATGAAGCAAATAATACATGACATTTTTAACCATTAATTAAAATGCGACACCTCATTTTTAACTTACATTCTGATTGGAAAATTTATTTTCTTTCAATGTACATTGAGATACTGCAGTTTTTGAAATCAAATATTGCATAGGAACATGCTCACAACTTAATCCTTTTTTCATTATTCTTTCTCTTTTGCTTTTCCTTTTCTTAAGCATTTTGCGAATATTTTGCAGTATATCGGTGGATACTTCATTATTTCTGAGATCAATCTGTGTAAGTACGGTATTTGTTTGTAAGAACTTCCACACAATTTCTCCTCCATGTTGAGTAATACCACAATATCGCAAACATAATGTTTTCAACCAAATATCATTTTTTAGCATATATGTTAATTGTCGTAAGCCAATGTCGCTAAATTTAAAATTTTTATCCAGTATCAATACTTGTAGTCCTTCCGCCTAAAATATAAATATAATTATTTAATAGTAAATTAAATATTAATAGTAACTTATTTATTAAAATATTAATTTATTTGTAAAAACATATTGTTTCAATTAGAGCATTATTTTTCTTTTCATACGTACCATTGTTGTACGAACATTTTCACGAGGTAATGTTACTTCCTTTCCCACATTTTGCAACAAATCCGATTTCCTTTTTTTAAAAAACAATGACAAATACATAACACTTCTATTAGTGAGACAACATGATGATAAATCCAAAGTATGGAGATTCGAATTATATCGCAAACTTTCTAACAATATGTAACAGCCTGTGGAAAATAGAGACATACATATTGCTGTGTTTATGCTTTTCTTTTTAATTAATTTATAAAAATATGTATATATATGAAAATTATACTTTAAATATTTAATTAATCAATTTATTTTATTGATGTATACTAAGAATTTAAAAATAACAAATTACAACAATTTTACATTAACCAACCTGTATCACCTATTCGACATCTGGCCAATGATAAACTTCGCAGATTTCGATTATTTACCAAGCCATCACTCAGAATCCTTAGATAGTAAGCTGCCAAAGGGATACCATCTAGTGCGAGACTGGTAATCATCAACGAATTCCGAAGACAGACAGCAATGGAATGGATGAAGCATCGTAGTGGAAAATTTGTACACAAAACCGGTTGCTGTCGATCCCTTCGCGCGTATTTCCTGAACGTGTGAAAATGCCAATCCATTTGCCATTTTGCCATTTGTAAATTTACATATCATCGTTTATTGGCATTATTTTTAACTTCCCTTTGATCTCGTTTCTTTGTTGGATGTCACCTGAAAACTTAAACTTACTGGGAGTAGTATCGGAAAATATTATCACAATATTTTTTATTTCATTTTTTAAATATTTACATATTCTACATAACGTATATTTAAAAACAAATTAAAATTAAAAAATTGCTCGATAAAAAAAACATAATTTTTAATGTTTTACTAACTAAATTTTATAAAAACATTGGCATTAAGTATATTAAACTATTTTGCAAAGAATATATGTATTTCAAAAATTGCTTATTATGTTTATTTATTTTTTTAGTCATTATAATTTTATTTTACATTTCAGATAGAAGGCAACATGTTTTTTTATTGAAAAGTAAGATTTAAGCTTAAAATCATAAAAATTTTAAATACTGATTTGTTATGATACATATTGATTATGAAATTGTGCATTTTTACATGATAAAATAATTTAAATATTACTTAAATTAAACAAAAAAGTATATTTTAAGATATATTTCTCTAAAAGTTATAAAATATCTTAATATCGCTAATCAAATAATCAAAGGATCATTGAAAAAAGTGTAATCGACCAAACTAGCCAGAAAATTTGTTTATTAATACAATTTTCTGGCTAGTTTGGTCGATTACACTTTTTTTTATATATTTCTCTATTTGCAAGCAAGTTTTAGTAAAACAATTTGTTAATCAAAATAAATTTTTTACAAAAAATTTTTGTTTATGATTTCAATAATTAATTATATTTTTACGATTTACCATAATTTCATGAATTTCTCTTCTGTGTTCACTTTTTCTTTAATCCTTTTGTAGTGACATCGACTGTATACACAAATTTTGGAAAGGCTTCGATCTTGCATTATACTGTTCAATAGTGGTGACCAATCTTTCAAACTTATATGTTCGACGCAAAATCGCAAACAGTTTTTTTGCAAATACATTAATATTATTGGTAAAGGCGTCACATTTTTTTCGCGACATAATACCTTAATCGAAAATCACAAGTTTCGTCAGAAAAATAAAGTTGCAACATTAAATAAAGGTAATGAAACGACTTATTAATTTGTATATTACTCATTTAACGAATTTAATATTTATTATTTATAAATTATTTTATTTTATATAATATTATTTTATCTATCAAGATTTTAAGATTTTATATTATAAAGATATATATAAATCTTATATATATGTTATTATAAATAAATTCTCTAATAATAATTCCAGACAAAATTAAAATAGTATTAAATTGTAAAGTAGAGATAATATATTCGAAAAAAATTTTTAAAAATAAAAACTGACCTTATATGTCTGTTCAAATAGCCCACTAGAATTATTTTCTTTACAATTTTGCATAATGTCATTTATAATTTTACTTGATCATAAGTTTCATACTTTAATATCATATAATTTTCGTTGGAAATATATTTTCAGGAAAATGTCAAATTGTTCTGAATACATTAAAAAATCGATATAGTAGTATCGAACATTTGCCTACTGTCAAACAAAGAAATGTTTCAAATTTCATTTCGTACATTTTATTAAATTCCAATCAGTTTGATTCATAAAAAAAGTATAATATTAATATTGTATAATATTAATATTAAATATAATATTTTATTAATATAATATATATTCTATAATATATTATAATAAAAATAATTAATATGTATGTATATATATACTCGGGAGTCTCTTATTTTGGGATTCCAAATAGAAATTACAATCATTTATATTAATAACTTTAACATATTAAAAAAATAGTTAAAAAAGTTATATGTGTCATGAAACAGATATGGGAAATAGGACAAAGAAAATTCGCATGAGATTTTAGGAGAAGGATCTGAATGTTTGATCATTTAGTAAAGAGTATTTTAATGCATGGAGCAGAGATTTAAGGATGGAAGGAATATGAGACTATAGAAAGGTGTTAGGATAAATATATGGACGCTAGGATTAGACTGGAACATTTCAAGTTATATTGTTGGGAAGAAAACAAAAAAACAATTTTTAAGAATATAGACAGGTAAAAGAGCTATTGTTTTGAAGAAAAAAATTAGGAAAAAATCGAACAATAAAATATTGATAGAATGTTTTAGGGAAGTAGAGAAAAATAGGCAAGCTCAAAACAGGTGGGAAATAGACAGAGAAATATATTTTGGAAGAAATGGAATGTCCGGAATAGAAATTAAAAGATTAAGGGAGGAAGGTTTCGAAATAGTACAGAAGCTAAGAATAAAATTAAGAAATTCTAGATATGATATAAGATATAGAGAGTTATACACGATAGGAATACCAGAATCTTTAAGAAAACAAGATCAGAAAGATTTTCAAAAGATTATAGTAAGATTTAGATGTGGAGACGAAGAACTCCGGAATAAATTTCGGCGTGAACAGGAGAAGAAACTGTGTAGAATATGTCAGAAGGAAGTAGAAACATTAAAGCATTTAGCAATAAATTATACAGAAGATACGAGAAATAAATAATAAAAGAATGAATCAAATTTTAGAAGAAAAGGGAGAGGAAATTAGTTGGATGGAGAAAATTCTAAGGTTAAGAAAAGGGAATAAAACCAAAGAAATTATTAACGACAATCTAGAAGTAATTGAAATTATTTAGGATATGAAACAACATTGTATAAGTTAAGCATATTATAAAGTCTGCAATGTACATTTTATGTAAAACTCCTTTTAATGCCGAAAAGCAAGAAATAAATAAATCTATTAGGTATCATCTATATTAATAACTTTAGAAAACTACAATTCTCGTCAAAAAATGAAAGACTAATTATAACGTTAAATAAAAGTAATTAAGTAAAATAATTTATTAATCTTTATTTTACTCATATCTAATGAGTTTATTAATATTTTCTTATAGATTATTTTATAAAATATTTATAAAATTATTTTTTAAAATTAATATATATTTATATCAAGATTTTAAGGAAATGTTTAAATTGAAGAATAATAAGAAAAATACATAAAAATATTTTATTAATAATATATTTATAAAAAAATAAAAAAAATTGTCTTCATAATTTATATAAATATATTACATGAATAAATATTGTATATATAAATAATGGAACTTATATATGTACATAGTACACAATCGTTATATGGTTCTCAGTCGTTACTATAAATTCATTTAGACATTTCAAGCTGCATAAACTAAGAAAAACATATTAACAAATGTGAAAAATAATGGATAAGAAGAAAAATACAGATATACAAATTTACGATAAGCTCTCGCTAAAGATAACTTACGTCATGGAAATTTTAAAACGGCCCTAAATAATTGTCTTATAAAACGGTATGTAAATGTTAAATGATTAAATTTACAGTGATAATTCCCTAATCTCTCGTATTTGCTACTCACAAATTCTAGCTAGCTTTATGTTCCTTTCCCTTCTATTGTTGAATATTCAAATGTTAAACACACGTGTATCCACACTATATATATACATATATATATATATATATATATATATATATATGTATATATATTTATTTATTTATCTTTTTGTTTTAATACCATTTAATACCATTTAAATATATGTATATATCTCTCTTTTTAACCAGTAAATTAAAATTGATGATGAAAGACATTTGAGAAGACTTTGAACGAATGAGATACGCAGATTGCGAAGATGTCTGTTCGTCCTCGAGAAATCGTACAATTTAACCAGTGAGTTTGAGATTATTGTGCTGCCTACGTCTGCGTCTGTCTTCATTAAAACCTCGTGCACACCTCGAAGCGCCGTGTCCCCTATCAATAGAACGCTCGCGATTCAAACTGTGCGCGTTTCAGTGAAATCGTCGTCATTGTGATTGTTAAGTGATGTTGCAAAAGTTCTCGTCGAAAAATTTTTGTTTTTATGTTATCATCTTCTCTAGCTAGTCGCCAAATTACTTCATTGAAATATTAACGTATCTGACTAATCGTTCTGTATCTACTCATACCTATTTCGTAAAGTGCAAAGTAAATGTTTTCAAAGAAAAAACTCTTGCATAGTGCAACATCGTAAAATTGATCTTGTCAAATGTAATTATCGCCTTTTTCAATGCAAAGATGTATTTGAATGACTTATGATCAAGAAACGCCGATAAACGCGTTCAGTAAACGTACGTAGGACATAGCGCCTAGCTTGTTATCACTGTTTCTTTATCTTTAAAGAAACAGCTTTACACTCTTTCCTATCAAAGTATCTAAAGATATTTTTATTTATCAAATAATGATTAGTGTATATTATATTCATTAAATGCGTATATGCGTGTATAATATTCAGATTTTTGTAATTTGAATTGATTATATTTCTTAATTAACTTTAAAAAGTAACATTATTTTAATAATATTTATCAATTGAACCTTTTATTTTATTTTTTTATTGTAATATATAGAAATATATATAACATGAAAATATGCTAAACAATACTTAACGCATTAATATGTTTATAGAAAAATAATATTTTCAGTATTTAATAATTAAATTCATTATCTTGTATATAAGAGAGATATATATTTTAAATTTAAATTTATAGTCAAAAGACGGAGTTAAATTTTTTTATTTATAGAAAAATAGCATAAAAGTTTTCAGGATATTATATTATACTTTTATTTTATAAAGATCTTTATTTTTAATCTTGTTTAGTATATGCCTCTTATATTTTAATTTTAAATTTTAATGTTTAAATGCCTATCTGGATGTAGAATCTGTATGCTTGCATTACTACGAAAACAGTGCCTCCGATAATTATGCACACAACAGCACTATTTGCCTGCTTTGTGCCCACACATCGCGTAATCGGACGAATTACATGAACGACTATCTCGCGCAGAACGTCCTCCAATTACGCGCGCTGTGGATCGTGACTGCCAAGTGATACAGCTATTTGAGATGCGCCGCGAAACTTTTGAATTACGTGTAAACACATTTGGCGAAGAAGATAAGATAAAATAAGCTAGGAAAATTGCACTCTGAGACGCATCACCCCGTACATGCAAAATGCTCTGCTTCAGTCTCGATCGCGTTCAATTAATTGCCGAATTAATTGTCGATTACAAAGTTTTCGCGATACTCACAAGCACTATCGCGCATCAGCGAGCAAACGTTTTATCTGACTC